CAGGGAAGATAGCCTAGAAAAGTAACTCTTACTAGATTCTGAAATCATCCATGGGTGTTTACTGGAAACTGATTAGAAATAAAAGAGGCAAGAGTACTCCAGGTGGAGTGAGCAATAGAAGCAAAGACACGGGATGCTGTGTTTAAGTAATATACTCTAAAAAATGTCAAGTTGTTCAATTTAGGATTGGAGGATATGAATGGATAAACTTCAATGGCAACAGAACTGGATGCATAGGTAGGAAACAGGTTTATCCAGGCAAGGGTCTAAACCAATGGTCTCTAACCAGGTAGGTATTTGGATCTGAACTTTAGATTATTCTAGCTTCTCAGTTGGACATTACCTTCTCTATGAGGCCTTCCCTGTGTACCCTTCTCCCCCCTGAGTATGGCAGGCATCCCTCTTCTGAGGGGTCCCACAGCATCTTTTGATCCCATCTGAGATCCCACAGCATCTTTTGCCTTTCTCTGTTATAACATTGATCATATTGCATTAAATTGTTGTTTATGTGTTTTTCAAAAGATGACTGAAGTTTTTGGGGACAGGGCTTTTTTTCCTTCTCTATATCTTTAGCATCTTATATTATACCTTGTACATAATTGGGATTCAATAAATACTTGCTTTAAGTAAATACTGGAATAAGTAGCTACAAAATGGAATTCCAAGTAATGCACATTTTTATTACCAATCCCAAAGTCTAAATGTAAGTAAATTTCAACCTTCTAGAGAAAGAATGAGAAGGACAGGTAGGTAGTATAGGTAAGAGATTAGGAAACCTTTTATAACTTATAAAGTATATTTTATATAGAAGAATAATAATTATGTACGTTTATACATTTAAACTTAGTGCATATTTTCACATACATGACCTCATTTATTCCACACAGTAATTTTGAATTTAGAAAACTTTATACCGAGAATAATGAACACAGATCATTTATTTTACCAGGGTCATGTTAATCAATAGCAGAAGCAAGGATTAAGTTCAGGTCTTTTGCCTCCAAGTTCCTCTCTACTACATTAAGACTATACTGTATTGATTTCCTATCCTTTCAATTTACATTAGAGATTCCAGTTGATTTTGCATCCTCACCCCTCTTGTGGTGGAGTATTTGAAAAAAAAAAAAAAGTGTTCCTCTACCTGTATTCATGTTCCTTTGCAATGTCACTGTGTAGTTAACCCATCAAGTGAAAGGATTTCTTTACTCACCCCTGGAATCTGGACTGACTTTATGACTTGTTTTAACCAACAGAACATGGCAAAACTGAGGTTGTGCAAGTGCCAAACCAAGGCTTCAAGAGGATTTGTCCTCTTCTGCTTACTCTGCTGAAAGCCTGCCTAGCCATGTGATGAAGCTATCACAGCCTGCTGGAGGATCAGAGCACATGGAACAGGGATAAGCCCTCTAGCAGAGGCCACCTAAGACTGGCCAGCCCCTAGCCCATCTGGAAGGTAACTACAGATAAAGGGACATGAGCTGAGACAAGAAGAACCATCCAGCTTAGTCCTGCCCAAATTGCTAACACACAGAATTCTGAACTAAATTAATAGTTGTTCTAATCTACCAAATTTGAGGTGAAGCACATGCTGTGTCCTTGCATGTACCACGCACAGTGTTAAACATTCCACATGCATATCTCTAAACCTTAGAACAACAGGACTATATAGAAATTATCAGCCCCATTTTACAGTTAGGAAACAAAAAACAAACCCTTATTTCAAGAGGTTAAATAACTGCTCATGGTTGTTCAGCTAATCTTGAATTGTTTGGCTCTAATATTTTTTCTGTGAATCATTCTTCTGTGTTCCTTAATCATACATTTACAGAAAACCTTGTGGGTTTGTTTTTACACATGGGTTTCATTCAATGCATGACAGTTTTATTACTTTCATTCTCAGGGGCTAACTTTTTTTTTTTTTTTAATGTTTTTGACCAATGCACGATTTCAATGTAACTCAATAAATACCATCTAAGCTTAACGGGCAGATGGAACTACCTATGAAATCATTAACTCAGAGGAAAGACTAAGTGAGCAAGACCTAATGAGTGAGTCACTGTTTCCTAAGCACCTAAATATGTTAAGGAATGAAGATAGGGTAGTGCAGCCCTTTATAACCTGGCCCCAAATCCACTGCTGTCCCATATCTTGACACACCAAATTGATCCCCCTGTCTGTACTGCCCACCAGATGTCCTTTTAGACTTCCATTCTTTGCCCCATGCTGGTTGTTCTTCTTAAGAGTACCATCCTATTCCTCTGATGGTGTATCTCCTATCGTTCTTCAAGGCCTAGCTCAGAGCCAATTTCTATCATACCACCTTCAATGATCTCAGACATAGAATCACTATACTTATCAGGTATTTGAGTAAAGTGTACCTATTTCTATTCCAGTTCCTGTCACAGTGCATCACAGATGTGTGTTTATTTACACCAGTGTCTTCTTTTATACCATTCAGAGGAAGAACATGTTAATTTTTATTCATGTTTGCTTTTTTATTATTTGGTTCAGCATTGCATAGCATCTAATGTACTTTGTAATAAATATTTATAAAAGGAAGGATGACATCTTGTTATTTTATTATTAATTTTTTAAAATTTTCTGGTTCATCCCTATGAAGATTATCATACTTGCTGCAATCATGGAAAATAAACACATATATGAAACTGCCATTACTACCATATATTTTTATATTTTTAAGCCATTTACTGTTTTCATAGCATGACTTTGGCACTGAATTTAATCTAAGATGATTAACTGGATTCAGGTTTTTCTATCATTGTTGACCCTTCACTGAGGTTGCAGTAAGTCAACTGAAACCATGAGATTTGAATTCACTGTACACAAAGAAAGGCGTGTTTCCTACATAAAACTGTGTATGAGATTTGATTTTGCTTTTAGTTAAAAGGTCATGAAACATTGCCTGTTTTAATGTGGTTCATTCAGGAATACAGCCTTTCAAAGGCACATAAAAGGGTTGATTTCAAAGGTGTTATGAAGCATCTATATTCCAATTTTAAACTTCTTATTTTATTTAGAAGCTATAACAAATATGCATTTAATGAACTGCTTTTATAAATTAATAAGGCTAATAATTAATACAGTGCTAAAATGTAATATAGGAATTAAAAAAAAAAGAGGTTAAAAAGAAAGCAATGAAGACCCTCAAGATAATTACATAGAATGATGCACCGCATTAAATAGTTTGGGCACTTCTTCCAATACCATACATGTAGCACATGGGTGTTGTAAAGATTATTGAAACATTTTCTGTAAAGACTTTAAATTCCCAAATGAAAATTTTATGTAAATACTAAGTGTTACTGTAATTATTTTATGAGATGTAGCTCTTTTGCTCTCATTAACTATGATTGCATGTTTAATGCACATTCAATTAGATAATTCTGTTGTGTGAGTTAGTGGTATTGTGTCTTAAGTACTGGATGGTAAGCTTCTGGAGGACATAGGGTTGTGTCTTCTATCTCAGCATCTCTCTTTCTGGTGGGCTGGGACTGCCTGTTCTGTTTACCAAAGTACTGGACACCTAGTAGGGACTCACAAAATATTTGCTGAATGAAGAAATAAGTAACATAGTAGATGGTCAATATATGTATGTTAAATGCAGTGCTTTCAAGAAGTCAAGGACTTCTAAAAACACACAACTTACTCTTTTCCAAATATATGTTATTACTTTACAGAAATTCTATGGGAGGGCTTAAATTCAATTCATTGTGGAACGTGCTGTAAACCGTTGGGAGGCTGTGCCCTGGCTGCTTCTCCAACATTGTGTATTCTTTCCCAGACATCCGCAGGCACTCTCCCACACTTCCTTCCAGTCTCTGCTCAAACATCGTTGCCTCAGTGTCACTCTATTTAAGATTGCAAACCATCCCTTCCCAGTCCTATTTTCTTTGCCATTGCACTTTCTATCATTTTCTTATTTACTATATTTAATGTCTTTCTCCCTTCAGCTGGAATGTAAACTCCACTAGAGTAAGAATTGTTGTTTTGGATACAAAACAGTGCTGGCATGTACTAGATGCCCCATACTTGTAAAATGAATGATCAAATACTGACATATTATTTAATTGTCTTTCTGCATCAGCCACCTGATCTATAAAATGGGAATGATCTGGTTTATCCCTCTTATTTCATGGTGATTATTCTGAGAATTTATGGTATTATGTTTCTGACATTAAATAGTTTTCAATGAAATCCCATGATAATTTTTATGACTAAGAGAATAATGTCATATTCAGATTTGCCATTTTCTACAATTTAGTTAGAGTGCAAACAATGACATTTTATAGTACCGCAACACTTTGGTTTTAAACATCCACAGATAAGACTTTTAAAAATATGCTATTGGAAAGTGTAGAAAGCATCTTCATATGCTCTTTTGATCTTCTTATAGAGTCACACTGTGGGCATTTTATATTTGTAAGTTAACATATTATCTATTTATTTATTATTTATTTATTTATTATTCTTTTTTATGCTTTTTTTCCTACAACAATGTTTAATCTCCATGCTGAGAAGTCCCATTTGACTTTTCCCTCCATGCCTTTTAAAATTAGGTGACAAAGTAGAAATCCAGTCATGAAAATAAAAAGGCAGAGGTGTATGAGCCCTGGCTCAATGAGACATATCAAATACATAGCATCCTGGTGTCACAGGGCAGAGAGAACTGTCCTAGACAGTATGGGGGAACGATGGGCACTGCAGAGGTAAAAATTCTACTTCGTGATCACTCACACGTGAACAGTGCATTAGTCATTGAACAGGGGCGAGGTGAGGGGTACGGGAGGGTGGCACAGTTGTAATTCTCTATGAGGGCTGGGAACATATACTCGTGGATGGGAAATTTTAAGTAGCGATGTTCATTATTACTTTTTTCCAGCAATCTTGCAAGAGGCAGAAGTGTGACATTGAGTTGAGTGAGACGAGCATGTAGGTGGGTTGGCTGAGGAGTCCTTCTCTTGATGCAGGCCTCTGGCTTGTCAAGGAATGGCTGGTTCCACTGCTGGGCCATATTTACTTTTTGCTTCAAGGAAAAGGGTTTCTTGAGGGAACAACTTTACCTCCAATAAAGATTTATTTGGGTCCAGCTGGGTTACGTCTCTCTGCAGGACGTTCATATGCTCCTTGAAGCAAGCTGGAGAAGCCCTGGCTCTGTCCCCAGTGAGACTCTGATCAAAGACTTGATGTGTTGTAGTTCATCTGTTTTAAGGAAGGAATAGTTTCTCCGAGTGACCTTGACCTTGTCATGTCAGATGGCCTGGGCATGCAGTATGCATTCATCGGACCCTTAGAAACTATGCATCTCCATGCAGAAGGTATGTTAAACTACTGTGAGAGATATAGGGAAGGCATGAAACGTGTCCTGAAGACTTTTGGGCCCATTCCAGACTTTTCCAGGGCCACCACTGAAAAAGTTAACCAGGCCATGTGTGTGAATGTTCCCGATGACCCAGAGCACTTAGGCGCCAGAAGGCAGTGGAGGGATGGGTGTCTCCTGAGACTGGCCAAGTTGAAGAGGCAGATGCAGTCCCAGTAAAGCTTCCTGCTGAGCTCCCGTCCTTCGTTATTGGGAGTCCTCATTGGGAGAATATCAAGCACTTAATTGAACCTGGAGGCCAGGTGGTCTTCATGCAGATTCAATGGCAGGGCCACAGCGGTGGGGCTGAGGGGTCCTCTGATCACTCCCTGGCCTTGGGTGTCACAGCTGCACTGGATTCTGAGGGCTGTTGACTCCCTGCAACTTGGGCAAGCAAGAGAACAAATCGTCTGAAGATTTTCACCTTTTATTTTTAGTGATTCCATACGGCGGCATTTTATAGCCAATGATAGTAGTTTCAAGTTCATTTTAATCTGTAGCAAAGTTTTGTAATGATTTTCTAATCTCTGAGTACTCTGTGGTCCTGCATTATGAGGCAGTTCCTTTCCTAGGAAAGGTACTGAGTAACTTGAACTCGTCCCATGGAAATCCTTTGGAAGCAACAAAATCAGACATTCTGGAGCTTATTGCTGGCCAGGAACCGCCGCTCAAGGAACTCGCCACTGGGGGTCCGGATCCGCAGTTTGCTCACGGGTTCAGCATTTTCTTCCTTTGGCTCTGGAGGCAGGGCCTGCTCTAAGGAGAGCCAGATGGCCTCACGTTCCTCTTCTTGTTCTTTGCGAATCTGCTCCAAACAAAACTGCTCTGCCATCTCTCGTTCATGAGCTTCTCTCTTTGCTCTGTCAGCCTCAAGTGAAAGGCGATAGGCCTCATCTTGCTCTCTCTTCACATTTTCTCTGGCTTCACGTTCATCCTCATCCTTTATATCTTCTTGTTGTTGGGGGGTGAAGATCTCCATTGCAGCCACAAGTCTCATCATTAACTCATCCACTGTTGTGTTACCTTGTATCACATTTAACACTTCGTTAGATCATCGCTTTCCCATAATAATCAGAAAAAGTGGAAACTGATCTGTTTTTTGAGTCCGGATGGTTTGTGCAACAACACTGCCAAAGTGTCTATTGCACATTGTCAGAAATCTTGCTCTGTTGGTGTCCTTTGTCAGATCCCAAGCCCAGGTTATAAAATTTTGACTCAGATAAGAGACAATAGATTCAGCACAAAGCATTTGTGAGCAGAACATGTTGGTTAATACACTTTCATCATGGTGGAGGTAGATAGCAAGAAGCTTTCTATCTCTGGCTTTCACATAGAAGGCCTCTTGAAAAGCAGCTTCTAATGAGCCAATAAAAAATACAGGATGGCAGTCACCATATCTTGAAGAAAACTCTGCTGTAAATTGTAATAAGGCATCTCCTTCATTTTCTGCATTTTCTGGCATCATTGGAGATTTTCTCAGGGCAGAAGATGCCATGCCGAATACTCCATCATCCACTCCAAATTCGGAAGCATCTTCAAAATCATCTCCATCGCTATCACTAACCATATGAACATCGGTGCTTTGCTCTTCGGACTGCTCCCGGGTCTGCACAGGTGAAGATCTTCTGCCCACTGTAAGTCGATGGCAGGGATAAGATAGCCCTGACTCAGCAAGACACATCAAGTCATCTGTGGCAGAAGTTGGCCAGCCCTCCCATAATTGATGGCGAACGGGGATACTCGTAAGGTCATACACATTTCTCTTTACCTCTTGAATAGTACTGCTTCCTGAGAAGTTCAGGTTGTACTCCCGCTGGACTTCTCGGTGGGTGATGATCAGCATGAAGTTTTGATTTAATGACTCCTGCAGGGCACCAGCATGAGTAGATGATGAAGGTGGTGGCAAGTCTGGTGTAAGGACATAAAGACTGTTGTTTTTTGGCAAACGTAGTGATTTTAAGGCTGTACTGTCTTCCACATCTCCGGTCTTCGAGCCTTTCAACAGCATTTTAGACACAGGAATCTGAAGTTCATTTTCTAGAATCTGTTTAATCTCTCCAATAGTACAGCTGTCTTCAAGTACCACATCAACATTTCTGTCTCTGTACTCAACCCTGAAGTCCAGCATCCGAGGTTGCCTTTCTACAATTTGCCTAGATGGCATTACAGGTCTAAATGCTGAAGAGGAAAAAGGAGCAGGAGCTGAAGCTGGGTGACTTGGATCAAATGCAGGTCCTGGTATAGTCTCACCTCCATAGTCACTTTGTAGAATGCCATTTTCCTGGGGTATTACACCATTGATAGCTGCCACTAAGTCCCAATTATTTTGCTCAAGCAATGTAATAGCTTCATCAATGTTTTCAATGCCAGTACATGCCTAGATATAATCTTTGTTTCAAGCCAACCCAGGAACTTGGACAAGTCACTTCCTTTTTCTGTTCTCAACTTCCACAAAAGGAAAACTGAGAAGCTGGAAACAGATGATCTCTGAAGTCCCCTGAAAATCCGCCAGGATCATCTCCCGGTCCATGTTGGACGCCATGGCGGCCGACGAGTTCCGCCAGTTAACATATTTTTTAAAAAGGAATGGTTCCACAGAAGAACATTTTTATAGAGTCACATTTTATAGATATTGAAGAATTCTTTTTAGATTTCACTAAAATCCTAGGAAATTCACTAATATCTAGGACACCTTTTTATTAAATTATGTTTCTTGGCTCACATTCTTTATTAGAATTGAGATTAAAATTTTTTCCCCTATTTACCCAGGACAAATCCTAAGAACTATGATCCCCAAATGTGTATTTCCCCAATTTGACAGATCCAAAGAGGGCCAGTATTCTAAACAGACGCCATGTTAAAGACAGAGTAGCTTACTGGGACAGGCTGCAATGATGGGTATGGAATGGTGGGGGTGGGTGGGATGGGAGTTAGAAATCATGCCCTTTACCTGAGATGTCTAAAAGGCATGCATTCTAAAACGCAAAGTTGCAAGACTTTCTTATAATGTTCTGCATGAGGTCTAAGTATTTCCAGCACACCTGTGTTTCTACTATGCACTTCTGTAAATACTCACTCATCACCTTTCTTCCCCTGAGGCCACCTCCTTCAACAGAGAAGGAGCTGAGGGAATACTTGCTGAATGAATAAACTAATGGAACTGTGTACTCTTCTTATACAAACGATCTTATTTTCACTTCTCTGCTGTCTTTCTTCCTCTTCATCATGTTCCATCTCCACCAATTCCCTCACCTCAATCTGACCTTTCCGTACAGGGAACTATGTATGGACTCATGCACTTCCACCTCCTCCATTTTAAGCTGCCACAGCTGCCAACAGTGGGCACCTTGGTACACAGCAGTAGAAACAAAACCTCTAAAAAAAAAAAAAAAAGAAACAAAACCTCTAACATGTTTTGCTTTTTAGGATAATGATTAATGATACTCAATTAATAAAGCACTTATTGTATCACTGAATATTGATATGATTCCCTTGCCTTAACACACTGTTGATACTTAAGAATCAACCAAAGATGTTTCACATACTTTGTAAACATCCTAGGATTTCATCTATATTCCCTATTTCAATTCAAAATGTTCCCTTCTCAGAGGCTTGGCATACTGATTTACAATAGAAATAATGACAGGACCTTTTTCAAAGTGATTGGAGCCTTTCTGGTATAAACTTTATACAGCATAATGAATGTGTTGGCATTTGGTCCTTATTTGCATACTATAAAAATAAAACAGAGTGTACAACAAAGTCCCTGTTAAATTCACATTACCTGTTAAATGAAGATACTCAAAAGGCAATGTAACCTAATTAAAATCAAAAAATGGTATTCAAGCCTACTTATATAACTTCTAAGATAACACATATGCACTAATATTTGCAATGCACGCAAAGGGTATACATCTCATTAATTACACTGGAAAAAAATCCCCAGACTTCTTTGCTCTAATTAGTCATTTCATAAAATTTTCTAATTCCAGTATTAGCTATTTCAAATGTTGGGCTAAAGTCATTTTTGTCTATAATCAATGCATGAGCAATTCTAATCCAAAGCAAACTCTGAAGGATCTTTGCAGTTTAAAATTTGATGTTTTTCACAATAATATATTGAAAGTTTGAAAATAAGAAAATATTTCTTTTTTTCTCTTAAGTGTTCCATTTTCTCATTGTTCATACTTTCTGGCTTGCTCATGAATGCACAGATGTTGACATCAATGCTGTTTTTAAGCAACAACAATGAGGTGTTTGTTTTGTAATCTCTTCCTCCTGTCTCCCACATATAATTACATGATCTTGGAAGCTTTCAAAACACATAGGAGAAAAGTAGCCTTTTAAGATGAAGTAATTGTATGGCTGGGGTTTGTAGTCTTCTAAATTAAAGGTAGATTATACATTTTTCCTACCATATAAGATTTGCTAATTTGAGAGTTCCTTTAAAAAATAAATTTATAAGCATATGCTTGTCTTAGGAATTATTGCATAAAGATACACATAATCAAGAGCTGGGGGAAAAGGTATTAAGACTGTAATTTTGGGTCATCATATGCTTTCTTTTTTAATATTTTCTATATATTTTCAAAACACATCATAAAAGCCACAGCATTGATTGTTTTAATTACTTACAATAAGGCAAAGAACAGCCTCTAGAATAATTCAATTTAAGAGACAAAGTCTGGTTCAGAACCTTTTGAATTATTTACAACCACCGCCAATTGTTCTATCATTTAACGAAGGAAAAGAGAGGTATCCTTCCCTCCCCCACCATCAAGTCATCATAGTAGAATACTATAAAAGCTTGTGATGAGGATTTTAGTCTCAGATGCAGCCCATGTCCCCACATGTCTCATAAATTCTTCTAATGCATTTTCACATGCATGATCGTGAATGCCTATTCAGTGAAAAGGTTTACCATATGCTACATTTTTCAACTACCAAGAACAAAGGGCAAATGGTTCCTGGCCTTGTGTTTGGAACAAAAAGTATAAAAGCAAAAGAAAAACCTCTTACATTTTTACTAAATAAAAGAATGAATACAGATTGTAAAGACCCAGGGGAAGCTTCTTTTGGCACCATGCTGTTCATTCTTGAGACAAAAGTATTCAATGAGGGACGGATGAAGAAAGAGAGATAGAGACTTAGTAGTCCTCCTGCTTACTTAATCCATTTTAGTAAGAAACTTTTTGTGCTACAGTACAGCATAAAGTGTTTCCTTCTGTATAATTTCAGAGTGATATGAATTTCTGCTACTTCTTTAGGAAGAATTCACAATATAGTTGGTTACTATTAAGCGTTCTTCATTTATTTTTTTCTTTTCCCCTTCAAGATACTCGCAGGTATGCCTCTTGAATCAAGCTAAACAATCCCTTTCCTTTTTCTCTTTAAAAATATATTCTAATAACTCAAAGTACTATTTTTCTATTGAGAAAATAAGTCAGAGGATTATTTCTCAATAGAAATTATTCAGCCAAGCCAGAGAGACTTACTGCATTTGTTAAATGTATAATATATTCCTCCAAATTATTTATGTAAATAATATATGCATATGCATATATAGAAAACATATAAATTATATACACAAATACATGTATACATTTTCCCCTCAATTAACTACCCCAATAACTACAATGAAACAGCCACCCATGAGCACAAATTACTCAGCCAAAACAGACACACAGACACACACACATTAAAAATCCTATAAATTGGAAGAAAAAAATCTTAGTATACAAATTTTAGGTTAAAATTTTTGTCCTTTCTATGCATAGTCCTTCTTTTCAAATTGTAACGTACTACAATTAGTCTATCAGTTGGTTACCAGCCTTGGTTGAGTGCACAAGCAATTTCTGGCAAAGTACTCACTATATCAAAATTCCATAGCAAATATGTTATAGGTGCTGCAAAGCTCATCATATGGAATGTTATCTCTATCTTATACTTACAATATCTAAGAAATGACAGGAAAAATTCACTCAAAGCAAATTAGTGGCCACATTTCATGTGTTACAGGACATATATAATTTTGGTGTGGTGTCGGTTTCATAGCACAATTTTTTTGATGTGTATCAGAAGGGACCCAAAGTGGAAAATTAACTAGACTTTCTTTTTTTTTAATTTTTTTTTATTTATGATAGTCACAGAGAGAGAGAGAGAGAGAGAGAGAGGCAGAGGGAGAAGCAGGCTCCATGCACCGGGAGCCCAATGTGGGATTCGATCCCGGGTCTCCAGGATCGCGCCCTGGGCCAAAGGCAGGCGCCAAACCGCTGTGCCACCCAGGGATCCCCTTAACTAGACTTTCTAACTAGCAGCCTAAGATGCTCATCTAAAAATACTTGTGCCTTAATAGTGTTTTCCTTCTCATAGCAAATTACTCTGCCCCACTTCATTTCTTATTGCCCGATATGTGGTAACTAAAGAATTTCTAAGAGTCAAGTCATTCTAGGTGCAAAGCATTTTAGTTCACAACCTATATTTTTCTAAGCTTGCTAACAGAAAGCTGCACTGAATTATTTCTATTGCCTGGCTTGGTTTTTGGTCTGGTTTGAAGGGTCAGCTTCTTCATCTGGTCAATTCATCTCAAATAATTTTGGCAATGAATCTTTTTTAGGCCACTCTAAAGCATCATTATTAAACTAGGTATCTCATTTAAAAAAAAAAAACACTCATCAAACCTTTAGTACTCTTTTGCTAAGTTTTCCTTTAATAAATTAAAATTTGTAGTACGACTGTTTTTACTTCATAGGAAGCAACTGCTCCTATAATTATGAGGAAGAAGGGAAAACATTCTTTACGGGGAAAAAACAAACTCTAGGAGCCATATAGGGTGAGAAGAGGGAAAAACTACAATCCATCTACATATTTTTCAAGGACTTCCTTACTGAAGCAAGTGTCATAGCACTGATTGATTCTAATTTAATCAGTTGATTTTTCCATACTCTCCACCCTGGAAACAACAGTTCATTTAAAATAATAAAAACTCCTAAGCCTCTGGAGTTTTCCACCTTTAAATGGGATACTTATCGATAACATGGAGTCATCCAAGCCTTATCACTGATGATGTTTTTCCTGAGATCCCTGCACCCCTTCTCTGTGATATATTAGTGTGTGTGCATCTGTTTGTGTGTGTGTGTGCTTGTGTTGTGTAACTCTTACAGCATGTACAGCATGTAAAGCTATGGATTTTATGAAGCAATGTTTTTTTTTTTTAATTAATTGTTATTTTTATGTGTTTGTCCTGTCTGCCCAGCAAATTGATATCCCTTTGATGGTGGGGATTCTTTCTTCTATACCTTATTGTTCCATGTAGAGTGTCTTACATATATTAGCTACACTCCTGATTAAGTAGATATGGCAGCTATTCAATATCATCTTACTATAAAAAAGATTAAGAAAATGATTAGTATAGCAAAAGTAATCCAATAATCCTGATGCTTAAAGAACATTGACTTTTTCAGTTTTCATTTTGCTAGATTTGGGAATTAAATCAGTTTTTGTTGAGAACCTGAAAAACATGTCACAATATAGGATGCTTAA